TTTTTAAAAAGTATGTATTTAAATTTTTTTAATTATGAAAAAGCTGAATAAAAGAAAATTAGAAGGCAGTAACTATCAGAATTTGAATATAATACAGGGAAAGCTGTCTAAGATAGGGAGAAAATATACTGTAAAATAATTTATGAAAGGCAGTATCAACTCTTTAGTGGAATGAAATCATGCTAGGGAATTAAAATACACTAATGTATTAACTGGGATTAATACTTATTCTCAGACTTACCTCTGCCCATTTAAGAATACAGGTCATACAGAACACATGATTACAATTTTCTGGAAAACCAACTTCCTTCTCTAATAGGCAATTAAGACATATGGGACATCTGTCAGCTTCACTGTACAACAGACCAGTAGTAGCAGTATCATCTCTATGTTCTTCTCCTGTAAAGTAAAACAGCTATATGTGCTTTCAAGTTCTCCAGACAAATGACTTGTATTTCTGGGAGTACAGTGAACTCGATATTCTAAAGGGCTCTCTTTAATACAAAAATTAGATCTTAGAAAAATTATAACAACATACTCCTTGAGCCACTACTCACAATACTTGCTTTTTTATATTTTTTAATGGAGGAGTGAAACAAACTTTTCATTAATTTAAAAATAAGTGATATTCACATGGTTCAAAAATTTAAATGTAAATTTACCCCCATCCATCCAGTTCTACCCAATCCAACAAGTAACAACTCTGTTCTTCCGAAGATTATATTTTAAAGCACAGAAAACAAATCCTAATACATATTCTTCCATATGCCCTTTTACACACAGATGTTAGCACATGTTTACACTGTTCTGGGTTTTTTTTTAATCTATTGACAGACATTCATTGTTTTCAACCTCTGACTATGACAATATTGCAATGAAAAATTTGCTATTTCACATTTTTAAAAGTATATGCTACAAGATAAATTCCCAAAATTGGAATTGCTAGATCAATATGTGTATACATTTACTATGAACAGATACGCAAAATTATCCTTCTGTTTAGGATTTGTACTAACTTAAACTCTTACCAGTAAGATAACCAACTCATATAAAAATATACACTGCTGACTTATAACAAATAAAAGATACTCTAAAATCAACATAAAAATAAAACAAAATAAACAGATTGTCAACTGAACTGTGAAAAGTATACAGCAAGCAAATGAAAAACTGGAATTGTCCCTGGGTGCAAATGTCTGTAATAGGTGTTCAGATCTGGAGACTAAGTCTTAAGATCACCCTGGGTTCTAAGAGAAATGATCCTGAGAGATTCCAGTATTAAGCCAAGCCTCTCAAATGGAGCTTCAAGTATCGGAATTTCAAATACTACACAGAAATGATTAATCAGCTGGTCCAACCCAGAAGAATGAACTAGAAGACAAATGTGAGGAAACTACCTAGATGAAGAAAAGGATATAATCTGTGATAAGGCTAAAAATGTGATCAGAGCAAGTTAACATACTAATTGAAATACAGAAAAGAATAAAGGAGAGGCAACAAAGAAGTAATGGCTGCAAAATAATTAAAAGCATGAACCAACAGATAAAGAACAACAATGTATGATAAATATTGAGAAATGGAAATAGATCCATGCCTAGACACAATGGTGCAAAGCTATACAACATCAAAGATGAAACAGATCTTAAAAGCAGAAAATAGAAAAAAGATCTGCAAGGAGTAAAATTGGACTGAGATTTCTTGACAGCAAGAAAAAAAAGAAAAAATAGTTAAATAGTATCTTCAAAGTACTAAGAGAAAAAACTATCCATCCAGAATTATACACCCAGTAAAACTACCTTTGAATAATTTTGAAGAAAAAATAGACACAAAACTTAGGGGTTTACCACCAACAGACCTTCGCTAAAGAAACTCTTATTTTTTCAGGAAGAATAAAGAAATAGAGAGGAAAGAACCTAAGCAAACATTGTTTGCATAAAATATCTTAATTTGTGGTATCTGAAATAAAAGAACCCGAACAACAGATAACTATAACCTATAAATGTTAGTAGGATAATCAGCGTTAAAGTGTTTCTAATTATTCTTGTGCTGACAGTGAAGATTAAATTAACTTTATAAGCAGAGAAAATATCAATGCTTACTTTTTTAAAAAAGATAACAAAATCAGAAACAGTAAAGAAAAAAACTTTAAGAAGAAAAATAAAAGTAAATAGTTCAGATTTTGTCTTATCGGCTTCTCAGTAGAGGAGGCTTTTCGGCCTTGGAGCGGGCCGGGGGGGTTGGCGACTGTGTCGCCGGCATTTCGTTGGTGGCTGCAGGCGGGGTGGAGCAGCCGCCCGAAGAAAGCACCATGATTTCGGCCGCGCAGTTGTTGGATGAGTTGATGGCCGGACCGAAACTCGCCCGGACGAAAAGCGCAACAACGTGCGGTGGGACCACGAGAGCGTTTGTAAATATTCTCTCTGTGGTTTCTGTCCTGCGGAATGTTCACAAATACTCGTTCTGATCTTGGTCCATGTGAAAAAATTCACGATGAGAAACTTACGAAAACAGTATGAGAAGAGTTCTCGTTTTATGAATTGGCTATGAGAGAGATTTTTTGCGATATATCAGACTTACTTGCAGAAGTAGAACGTAGAATTAGACGAGGCACTCTTTGGCATTATCTCAAAACCAGCAGTCCTCAGGGGCAGCTGGCCCAACAGGCAAAAATGAAGAAAAAATTCAGGTTCTAACAGACAAAATTATGTGCTCCTGCAGCAGATTGAAGAATTAGGATCTGAGGAAAGTAGAAGGAGGCCCAGGGGATGATGAAATTAGTTGAACAGTTAAAAGAAGAGAGAATGCTTAGATCCACAACCTCGACAATTGAAAGTTTCGCTGCTCAAGAAAAACAAATGGAGGTTGTGAAGTGTGTGGAGCCTTTTTGATAGTAGGAGATGCCCAGTCTCGGTAGATGACCATTTGATGGGAAAACAACACATGGGCTATGCCAAGATTAAAGCTACTGTAAGAGAACTAAAGAAAAGTTGAGAAAAAGAACTGAAGAACCTGATCGTGATGAACGTCTAAAAAGGAGAAGCAGGAAGAGAAGAAAGAGAAAAAGAGAGAGAGAAGGAGAAAGAGAAAGAAAAGACGAAGAGAGAGGAAGAAAGAGAAAAGAAAGGCTCGGACAGAGAAAGAGAAAGAGAGTCGTTCACGAAGTAGGCACTCAAGCCGAACTTCGACCGAAGATGCAGTCGGTCTCGGGACACAAAAGTCACGAAGTAAGACAGAAGGCGAAGCAGAAGTAGAGATCGATGGAGAAGCAGAAGCCATGACAGATCAGAAAGAAAGCATAGATCTCGAAGTCGAGATCGAAGAAGATCAAAAAGCCGGGATCGAAAGTCATATAAGCACAGGAGCAAAAGTCGGGACAGAGAACAAGATAGAAAATCCAAGGAGAAAGAAAAAAGGGGATCTGATGATAAAAAAAGTAGTGTGAAGTCCGGTAGTCGAGAAAAACAAAGTGAAGACACAAACATTGAATCGAAGGAAAGTGACACTAAGAATGAGGTCAATGGGACCAGTGAAGACATTAAATCTGAAGGTGACACTCAGTCCAATTAAAACTGATCTGATAAGACTTCAGATCAGACAGAGGACTACTGTTCGAAGACTTTTGGATGAATACTGAAAACGACATAAAGTGAAGACGACATTAAATGAGGTGAAAGAAGCTTATAGTGCATAGAAAAAGTATAAAGCTCAGTTAGTATTTTTTTTTATAAAAATTAATTCAGGACTGATGTGACCTACCAGATTTCAGAACATGTGTTAATAGTATATATGCCACTGAAAACTTAGGTCATGTATCATATTTTTTCTTTAAGACTTTTTAAGAAATATTACCTAAACATGTGGCTTGCTAAGTGTTTAATTGCAAGTTTTCATTCTTGGACTTTGAAAACAGGATAAAACATTAGTATTTGTTTGAATCAGCCTAAGTGGGATTCCATTTTTACAACTCTGCTATACTTAGCCTTTGGAATTAGAAGTAAAAATAAAGTATCTCTGCTTTCTGTTACCAAAAAAAAAAAAAAAAAAAAAGTACATAGTTCAAAAACCAAAAACTGATCAACTACAAACAAGACATGGGGCCGGGTACAGTGGCTCACACCTATAATCCTAGCACTCTGGAAGGCTAAAGCAGGAGGTTCATTTGAGGTCAGGAGTTCAAGACCATGTCTCTACTAAAAATAGAAAAAATTAGCCATGCATGGTGGCACCGTGTCTGGTTAACTTCTAAGTTTTTGTGTCTATTTTACCTTTTTCAAAATTATTCAAAGGTAGTAATCCCAGCTACTCTGGAGGCTGAGGCAGGACAATCACCTGAGCCCAGGAGCTGGAGGTTGCAGTGAGCTATGATTACATCACTGCATTCTAGCAAGGGCAGCAGAGGGAAGAGTCAGTCTTAAAAAAAAATTAAAATTTAAACTAAAAAAAAAAGATATGGGAGGAAGAAAAGAAAAATGTGTATGTTTCTTAAACTCTGATTTTAAAATTTAAGAACAAAAATAAGTAAAAACTAAAAACTCCTGTATGTTTTTAAATGTATACAAATGAACAGTTTGGAAACACCAAGTTGTACTTTCAACACACAAGTTTTATAAAAATGAAGTTACCTTCCATATCTTCATACTCCTTATCTCCCATGTTTAGGGTATATACAGTTTTCTTCTTCATTTCTCCTTGGAAAAGGGTTTCCTGTAGGATGAATTATAATAGATAGTTTTTATGTTTGTCTTCTCCCAATATCAATTTTTTAATAAAACAACAATCCTGACCAGTAAGAAATTATTTTATACATAATCCAGTATTCTTTCATATTCCTTCCCATCAAAAACTACAGTCTTATGGAAAAGAGAAGCGTTATAATACTATTAAGCAACAAAAAAGACTAAATGATAAGTTTTGTGGCACAGACACAATTGAAGCTTCAGGAAAAAAGATCAATTTGAAATGGAATTTTTGGAGAATTATGTATGTTCAGGAACTTAAGGCATTCAAGGAACACAATAGTACAGAGAAATAAAATAGCACTTAGCTAGGCCAATCTGACCAGACTAAGAGTGAGTCAGCAAGTGAGGGAAAGTGTGTGTACTGAGGAAGGGTAGGGATGTAAGTCAAGGACATCTGAAATATCACAGTAAGGGTAATAAAAGAAATAAGCTCAGATTCAATCCTATAGATCTTTCTGACAGGATGTCAAAAAAAATGACGTAAGTGAATTTTATAAAAGATTGATATACCAGCAAAGTATAGAATTATTACACTGGGGAGAAATTAGAAGCAGAGAGATTTGAATAGCTAGAGTAACTGGCTATGAAGTGAATTACAAAACAAATTAAAGAACTGAAGAATTTCTGAGGTTTGGAGAGAAAATACATGGAAAGACTCAATGAACTTCTTCTGTCCTAAAGGACTGGGAAAATATTAATTATAAGAGGCCAAAATGAAAAATGTCGGAAAGAAAGTCAACTTGGTAATGTGAGCTAAAATAAAATTTTAAGACTCACCCGCCCCATGAATGGACCCCTTCCTGGCCAAAGGAATATCCTAAAACTAAATTGCCTGCCAGGAGGAAGGAGGTCACAGACATGCCTTATCATGCCTCCTTCCCTCCTTTGTAACCCATTAACAGGCCTAAGGGCATGCAAGACAAACCTACAGGTCCTCAAATTTACACAACAAATATATGTCCCGTGTTTTATCTCTCATAAACAGCTTCTATGTTAAAACATACCAAGCCTTTAGACAAAGCTTCATGTCTTTAAACCAATTACAAGCCAAAGAATCTTTAAATGCACCTATAACGTGTAAGTCTCCCCCCATTGAGATGGCCCACCTTTTCAGGCCAATGTCTGCCTACCATGTATTTATTTATGACTTTACCTGTAACCCCTGTCTCCCTGAAATGTATAAAACCAAACTGTAAAGCAAGGTTTCTTGGGTGTGGCTCTGGGTCATGGTCCTCAAATTTGGCTCAGAGTAAATCTCTTTAAAATTATTTTACAGAGTTGGGCTTTTTTTTTTCCATTGACAGTAGTCAAAGAGAAGAAAATTATGAGATAAAATTATTATTTTTTTAATTAACTCAATATTCCTTCTGGAACTAATGCAAGACACCTAATTACAATGAAATGTCCAAATAAATTTTAGAATATCTAGGTACAAGAAGAAATCCCCAATTTCATCAGTTGTGATACTTCCATATGTACAGGAATTTTCCTATGTATTTCTAAAATAATTGACACATGGTAGTTCTACATTAAAGGTATGAATTGTCCCGGAAATTTCATTTGGGAAATTCCCTATTTGGTTAAACAAGGAGAAATGCAAAGTCCCACACTTTGTTTAAAAAAAAAATCAACTCCAAAAGCAGAAGATAAGAAACTTAGAAACATGTAAGAATGATTTTAAGGTTGCAGCAAATTAAAAGCTCAAAATGAGCATCAGAGCCATTAAAATTTTTTAATTCAATCAATCTGCCTTAATAAAGGTACACTGAGGAAAACTTCCCACTCTTAGCCTACATTTGCAACATTTGTTTCAGTTCTGGTATTTAAGGACAAAAATGTGATAAGCCTGGAAACTATCATATGCAAAAATAATTTAATAAGCATATTCAGCTTATTACTTGATCTTTTGGCCTGAAAGAACAGAAAGCTTAAGAACAACAGTAGTCATCTTCAAATGGAATGAAGTGTTCTAAAGATAAGTAGAATAACCTATCAAAGAAGGTATTCAAGCAAAGCCCCAATGACCTCTTCTGGGATTTTTTTTTTTTAACTCAAAAATTTATTGAGTGCTACAGGTATACTACAAGGCAATTCTTTAAGTACAGTACTGAACAGACAGACAGAAATCCCTGCCTTTACATTCTAGTGGGAAGACAAAATAAATAAAATAGTAAGTAAAATATCTAGTATTAGATGTTGAGAAGCGCTGTGGAGGAAAATTAAAAACAGTATAGCTAAAAATGGGTGAAAAATTGGGGAAGCTACTGTTAGGGAAAACCTCTGTGATAAAGTGACATTTCAATTGGCAATCAGAAAGAAGCAAGTGAGAGTGTTATTTGGATATCCTATATACCCATGCTGAACATTCTCTGCAGAAAGAACAGCCAATATGAAAGTCAAGACACAGGCACATGTCTGGTATGTTCAAGGAACAACAAAAAGATGAATGTGGTTAGAATAGAGTGAAAAGGAAGAAAAATAGTAGATGAGGATGGAGAGGTAACAGAAGACAAGATCATGCAGCACCTTTTAGGCTAAGGTAAGACTGGCTTCTTCTCTGAGTGACATGGAGCCACTAGCCACTCTCCTTTGAGCAGAGGAGACAAGGGAAAAAGTAGAGGCCAGCAAGGAGACTACTATAATAATCTTAGGGGGAAAATGATGCTGGCTTTTACCAAAGTGTTACCAAAGATGATGGAAAGTGCTCAGATTTCAGATTTTTTTGAAAATATAGCCATAAGGATTTGTGGGTAGATTGAATATGGAGTTATTTGTCAGAGAGCAAGGACCTAGAATAATTCCAAAGTATTTTGATCTGAGCAACTAGAAGTACTTAGACAAAAGATCACTATAAAAAAATTTAGATGTGTAAATTAGTACAACCACTATGGAAAACAATATGAAGGTTCCTCTAAAAACTAAAAATAAAACTACAATATGATTCAGCTATTCCACAATTGGGTATATATACAAAAAAAGGGAAATCAAAGTCTCAAAAAGATATCTGCACTCCCATATTTACTGCAGCACTATTCACAATAGCCAACATATGAAATCAACCTAAATGTCTATCAATGGATGAATGTACCTAGAAAACGCGGCATATATACACAATGGAATATTATTCATCCACAAAAAGGAATGAAATCTTATCATTTGTAGCAACATGGACAGAACTGGAGATTGTTAAGTAAAATAAGCCAGACACAGACAGAGAAATATCACATGTTCTCATTCATATGTGGGAACTAAAAAGTAGGTCTCATCAAGATAGAGAGTAGACTGGTGGCTATCATGGGCTGGAAAGAATGTGGGGAGGGGAAAATGAACAGAAGTTCATTCGTAGGTACAAAAATACAGTTAAAAAGAATAAATAAGACCTAGTATAAAATCAGCAGGGTGACTACAGTTAACAATAAACTACTGTATATTTCAAAATAGCTTGAAGAAAATAATTTGAATGTTCCCAGTTCAATTTTCTATATGTTTAAGGTGATAAATATCTTAATTACCCTGATTTGATCATTACATATGATATGAATGCATCAAAATATCACATGCACTCCCAAAATACATATATCTGTTATGTATGAATCAAAAAAAATTTTTTTTAATCAGATAGTCAAAGGTTACTCTCCTTGCTATTCATGTAGAAAGGCAACAAACTATCACCTGGGAACTTGTTGCAAATGCAGGGTATCTCAGGCACCACCCACACCTAGTGAATCAGAATCTGCATTTTATCAAGATCTATACATAATTCATATGTACATTAAAGTCTGAGAAGCGCTGCTCTAGACAGCTTCCCAATTTAGTTGACTTTAGAGTCATACGTGCTCCTGCATAGTACATAATCAAGCATAATTTTTTTATTTGGGAAAATTCATACCATACTGTCTCCCCCATTATCCTAAGTATCTGAGAATAAAAAATATTCAAGCCAGAGTTAATTCAATGTGATAAAATAGCAATTTGAAAATTAATACAATATTTTAAGAACCTAAGAAATTTTCAGGAGATGTAATATACTATCCCTTTATGTAGCACAATAATTTATTTGTCATATCTAATAGTCTGATAGCTATTTTCACATTTCCTCCTTTAAGAATACTAAGCTTGGCCCGGGCTGTGGAGCAGCCCCCGAAGAAAGCACCATGATTTCGGCCGCGCAGTTGTTGAGAGTTGATGGGCCGGACCGAAACCTCCCCCGACGAAAAGCGCAACAACGTGCGGTGGGACCACAGAGCGTTTGTAATATTCTCTGTGGTTTTTGTCCTGCGGAACGTTCACAAATACCGTCTGATCTTGTCCATTGTGAAAAATTCACGATGAAAACTTACGAAAACAGTATAGAAGAGTTCTCGTTTTATGAAATTGCATGAGAGAGATTTTTTGCGATACTTACAGCTTACTTGCAGAAGTAGAACGTAGAATTAGACGAGCCATGCTCGTTGCATTATCTCAAAACGCAAGTCCTCAGGGGCAGCTGCCCAACAGGCAAAAATGAGAAAAATTCAGGTTCTAACAGACAAACTGATGTGCTCCTGCGCAGATTGAAGAATTAGGATCTGAGGAAGTAGAGGGCCCAGGGGATGATGAAATTAGTTGACAGTTAAAAGAAGAGAGAATTGCTTAGATCCACAACCTCGACATTGAAAGTTTCGCTGCTCAAGAAAAACAAATGGAGGTTTGGAAGTGTGTGAGCCTTTTTGATAGTAGGAATGCCCAGTCTCGGTAGATGACCATTTATGGGAAAACAACACATGGCTATGCCAAGATTAAGCTACTGTAAGAAGCTAAAAGAAAAGTTGAGAAAAGAACTGAAAACCTGATCGTGATGAACGTAAAAAGGAAAGCAGGAAAGAGAAAAAGAGAAAAAGAGAGGAGAGAAGAAGAAAGAAAAAGAAGGGCTGACAGAAAAGAAGAAAGAATCGTTCACGAAGTAGCACTCACCGAACTTCCAGA